TGCTCTTCGAGTTCAATTCGGGGCACAACTACTTGCCAATCGCCTCCATGCGCCTTTAAAATGTTTAGAGGAATTCCTTCGATTTCTGTCCCCAAGTCTTGCGTACGCATGAGGTGTCTGGTGTGAGGCGCTGTCTGGAGCCCTATGTCGAGCTTAAGACACCCTTTTTGTCAACTATTGCCATATCAGTCGGAAGCGTGCTTACGTACTCTGGGAATTTATATTGATGAGATTGTTTTCCCGCAAGAGATTTTTCAAGATGAAAAATAACTAGGTCAAAAGTACAAAAGACTGTTTTGTAATTTCTGTACCAATGTACAGGCCCGGCCAAGTTTATCGGTCAAAGGTGTTCAGAGACTGTTGAGTTATAGACTTTGCAAAGCTTTCACAACGCCAGTACACAGTAATATTTTTTTTCAAAAGCGTTTTGTAACGCTGTATAGGATAGTGGTTTACTCGAACTGTTATAAGTTAATGATAATTGCTCAACGTATATGTGTTATACGTAATATTTTATTCTACATGACATATTATTTAATGTGTTTTTATTTTTGAAGAGAGCAAAGCATATAATGTAAACATGACACAGTTAAAACTGAGTAATAATCAACCGTAAATAATAGGAAGAAGTGCATATATTGTCATTACCATAGTGTGTTATTTTAGTTTTTGAAGAAATTAGGCTTTTTACAGGTGATCTTGTGATTTTAAACACTTAGAACAAATACTAACTCAAAAATTTCAACATGCATAAGCTGATACAACTATAATATACCCCTCTTTTCACTTTTTCTAGAGTACCCCACACAAGGAGGTATTGTGATGCGTTGTGATGTAGGTTTTTGTATAAAAACTGCAGTTAGGATGAAACAATTTGTTGTAAAAAAACTTAGATTTAAGTTTGTTAAATCTGCTTGCATTTGTGTTTTGCCAAGAAATTAGGGAAACGAAAAGCGATGCAGAGTAGTTGTGAAAATTGTGATATTTTTCTATATGTTGTATTTTAATGTAAGGCAGGGACTCTGTACACTCCGCGCAGCTCCCTCGCTGGACCGAAGAGGCTGTGAAGGGCTGCACGTCGATCCTGCCTCACTGTATCATAAAGACATTCAGCAGTAAATGACTCTCGATAAGAACTTGTGGATACTTTCCATTCCTTACCCCTACGATTGTACACACTATCTCGCGCACACATGTCGATATTCAGGGGATAGCGCATACATGAACACACTTGGGTTTCCAGAGCACATGAACAAATAAGGAGATTTTCCTCTAAAACGTGTGGTACTCGAATTACTTCCCCTCCCTACCGAGCGAAAAATATTGTCAAAGGTGCCGGGCGCGCGCGCGCGACTGTACTGCACACTGTGCTTACTACTTGTGGACTCAGGTGTATTCGACTTAGCCTCGCATGGCCTATCACGGCTCGCCCGAAAAACATGACGGTACATACATCTATCTGATGATGCGGGAGAGGAGAGAGAGAGAGGGAGAGCAGTGGAGGGAGAGGGAGAGAGAGTTAATTAATTTCTTGAAAGAATGTCTTGCTTAATTTTACTCATGACACGGTGCCAGAGCGGTGAGAGAGTGGGTGTGAAACCAAGCTCCATGAAGCTCCCGCCTTGAAACCAGCTGAGGTGGCGGGAGCAGGCCGACGCGCACCCGCGCTCCAACAGCCGCATGTGAGCTCCGGGGCCACAACACAACCTAGACGCATTTCAATTTTATTAACTTATTTTTCTCTCCTTTTTGTGTAATTTTTACGAATTTTTGTTTGTTTGTGTTTTTCTGCTCTTCGAGTTCAATTCGGGGCACAACTACTTGCCAATC